CGAGTCGTGATTTATTCTGGCCGTTGTGCCCGCGAGAAGCAAGGGCCGGTCGGGCAGCGCGACTCGCCGATCATTACGCGGGCCCTCCCGAGGGACGCTCGTTCGGCTTTATCCCTGGCGCTGATGGCAGACGTCCTGATGATGCCGCCGCGCATAGCGCACCTTCGCCGAGGAGGTGGAGGATGAGAGACTTGGTAGTTCATTGGCAAGAGTCCGTGACGGAGAAGGGCTGCGATACGCGGTGTTCGGCGGCGACAGTTTCGGCTGGGGACTCCTTTTTACCCAAGGTCGGGCCACAGCGGCAACACCCGCAGTCGTCTCAAGAACGCAGGAAAGATTCGCGTCATGGAGTGCCCCAGGGCACAGTAGATTGAAGGTCGCCCCAAGCATGCCTCTTCGGCTCATCTATAATATATATATATATATATATATATATATATATATATATATATATATATATATATATATATATATATATATATATATATATATATATATATATATATATATATTGTAGAGGAATGCGACAAAGAGAGAACGCCTGTTCAGTAGGCCGCCTGTTCCTTTTATGCCTCGTCTTTATTTTCTACATGCAAGCCGAGCGCGCACCTGGGCGCTGCAAGATTGCATAAGAAGCCGCCTAAAAAGCCGCCTTAGTGGTCTTTAGAGACTAAAAGTACAAATTTTTTGGCCAGTACGTCACACGCATATTTGTCCGAGTCCATGTCCGGGATCCTTCAAATGTCTCTGGAGGGTGGCGCTGGCTGCCTCGCAGAGGCCGTTTACGACCACAATGCGTCTTTCTTTGAAATTTGGGTGGTGATGGCTCTGGTGGACTCCATTGACTATTTCGTGCCGGTCATCGCATGGCTACCAGGAGAGCAGGCAACTTCTTGCCCAACTAAGGACGCCTGCGAATTCAAACAGGCTGCGATACATGATTTTCAGGGTTTGACGCAGGAATCTCTGCGCTGTTATCATCGCACTCTCCCGTTCCGCAGCCGCGAGGAAGCAGTATGCTCCCTGGTGGTTCTATACCACTGTGTGCAGACGGGTTAAGGCCACCATGGCTGCGCACCACGCTGCAGACGCCAGGGTTGTACGAAGACGTCCGCTCGCTGCTTTGTACGAGCTGGTCGGCGTCTAGTCGGATTCCCCGTTGACGCACGCAGTCTCAGGGTGAACCACACAGCACTCAGATGGTAAGCAGGAAGTCGTAACGAACTGCCCGTCATCGCTAGTAGAGCCGCATGCCGAGAGGTCGGAAGAACTATTGCTGGCTTCATCTGCTTGCGTTGCATCAGCCAAAGCACAGTGAGAACGCGCATACTCCGCCAATGACTGCCGAGACTTCCATAGGTATGGCTCCAGTTGGCCCGCGAGCGAAATTATAGTTGTAGTATAGGCTCTCCGTATTCTGGTCGCGTGTTAGGCACGAGGGAAGCTGGCATCTACATGTGTACCTGTGGCCTGTGGCAAAGGTGACACCGGGGGCCTATTCTGTAACTTAGTCAGATGAGGAGCACCAACACAGGCCGCTCTGTGGTGTTCTATCTCCGAAGGAGGGCAGTCTCGTGGGCACCAGGGCTGCAATGCCGTGGTGGCGTGTCGCAGAGCGCCCATCCGCGCTAGAACCTGGGTGGCAGGAACAGGGTCAGAGGCATCGAAAAGTGGCCGAAATACATAGGTGAACCAGGCGCACCATTCAGTCCAGGATCTTAGTCTGATGCCTTCGTAGGAGTGCCAGGCTTTTGCAGCATCGCGAAGGTGATCGATGGCACCCACAACTTCTGCTGATAAGTCTAGGCTTCGCGAGCACCAACCGTGTTGATAGTGGCCACCCAATTTCCGGCGTGGTGCTGAAATCCGCGGAACTGTGGTATTTCGCAGGCAAGCAGCGATGAGAAGATGCCAGGCGAAAATCCAGAGTGTGCCGACGCCAAGCAGCGCAGTTGTACTGAGGGCTCTGTGAGAGAACGCCGGAGCTCGCGGCGGTTCTCGGGTGAGCTGGCCTCAAAGTCGTGTGCTGTGGCTACACCCAGCATGGCATCGATGGCTTACGATTTGAGCATGGCTGCGGGTGAGAGCTGGAAGCTCGACGCTATCAATGCGCCGGTCGTAACGTGGAGTTGCGCGGTGGTGTGCTGCAGCTCCGCGGCGCTGTCGGATGATGCGGTTGAAGAGACAGGGTCGGAACCGTCAACGGCGTTTCTAGGCGAGCAGAATTACCCATGTGTTGTCTCGTGCAAATGTATCGCGGCGTCCACGAAGTTATGTTGAGCCATCGAGGATGGCGTGGACGCCGTCCACGGAGGGTGCTTGAAGCGCCGAGAGGTTAACAGGTGACGAGAAGGCATGCACGCCTTCCATAAGCAAGATGAGCCCGTGAGCATTGCTGGCGCGAAGTAATGCGTCACCGGACATGTTTCCTAGAACTGCAGTGGAGGCATGGACGCCGTCCGCTGGCGGTGAGATCGACACTTGCCGCAAAGGTAGCCTGGCGGGGTTCATCAGCGAGGAAACGGCACTGCGTTTCTCAGGAAGTCGTGTCAGAGCTGTGGCTCACCAAAGCCTTTTGACGACTACGCGCGCCATTGTAGAGAAATGAGACAATGAGACAACGCCTGTTCAGTAGGCTGGCTGTGTATATATATATATATATATATCATTCGGGACTAGCGTGTCGGCCAGAAACAGCCGAACCGTGGTTTTGTTGCTTGATGCAGATCCTTTTTGTAGATGCATTGTTGCAGATCACAGCATTGCCAGTACGCATTGGAATGTTTCAGAAAGTGCACAAAATAGAAGTAGCCAGTATATTAGACGTGCGACGTAGTGCGCACACGTAGCTTTAACTTGGAGCTTCATTTTTTTCCTCTCCTTCTTTCTCGTAAGTGTCGTGAACAGTTTTCGTGGCTATTAGAATAGAGGATACTTTTTCAACAGAGCATGGATTTTTTATATTGTTCAAAAAGATAATTCTAAGAGGATGTGCCGGAGCAGAGTGGGCGTTTGTTTACCTCCTAACGGCTTGAATCTCGCTACTGTCGAGGCGTATGTCATGTTCTTGTCTAAGACTTAATTTCGTCTCAGACCCCACTGCGAAATGCACGCACCCAGGTGCCTCTTCCCGACGCGTTGCGCCTGAGCTTCGCAGGACCCGCCGCCGAGCAAACAAGGCCCACGCCCAGCAGGTCCAGGACAAAGGCGGCCAGCAGCGGCGCTTCTCTTTCCTGCCGGACAGGCCAGGACTTCCTGCTACGCAACAGGTTCAGCCGAAGGTCCTTGAACCGTCCTCCTCCCTCCGCCACGGGTGGAGCAGCACGATGTTCGCTCCAGGGGCTCCGGCGCGGAGCGCGTCCACCACGCTCCGGCGCGCCCGCCACCAGTCGTAGTCGGCCAGGCCAGCGACAAAACCGAGACATGGGAAACCTGCTCGCACGAAACGATCGACGCCGACAAATGGCGTTTGCAGCGACTACGTCGAAATGGATGACTGGCCGGAGGCTGGCTGCTTCACAGCGGGGGCCTTTGGAAGAAAAGGGTAGGCCGCCCACTGAGCGAGTGCAGCGCTTACGAAACAATGCTTTCGTGTTACGCAGCAAGCACTGGCCGATACAGAGATGTCAGTATAGGCGGCGAAGGACGGAAGTAATGGCCGTGGGTTGTATAATGGTGAGCCACAATGTCAATGTACCCGCCGAAATGGAAGCGGGTGATGACCACAATTCGCGGTCACCCCTCCTGCTACTGCGTACTTAGCAAGTACTCCTGCCTCGACATATATATAACAGTGGTACAGGCTGTCGAACACTTGCGGTTAAGATGTTTCTGTGAAATGGTGGGAGCAAAAAAAATCAATAAAAAAATAACAGCTTGAAAAATGTGAGCATTACCTGCATTCGCTGTACGAGTTTGTTTTTTAAGTCTTTTTTGCCGAAAGAGGACTTAGATATGCGCGCTTTCTGCTTTTTCTGAGTGCGACTAAGAACGCGCTTGATTACAGACACACAAAAAGCTTTTACTCGCGCTCATGTCGCTGGTCTAACATGAGTTACGCGAGCTCTGCCGCTGAAATCACACTGACCACGTGGCGATCGATAGTAACAACGCTCCCGCTTACATCGAGCAACGTATATTATAAAGAAAAATTGAAGAAAACTTTGTAAATTCCAAAGTGTCTTTGGCGAACGCCTGTGCTCATTGGGTCGGTCAGAATGGCACGCGATGCGGGCGTCTCCCTTCTTCTATGACTGGACACGCTGCAGGCACAGCGACTCTACGCAAGCACAACTAGTAGCACAGCGCGGGCGCTGTTGAGTGCTGTTGAGTGTGCGAGCGCTGTTGAGGCGGCCACCTGGCACCCTGCCCGGGCACGGACGGACAGACGTAAGCATACATTAAATCTTAAAAAAATAACTGTATATATGCGTCGGCAAACATTGGGCTATCAGGGGACTAATTGCTTGTTAAACAGCATATGAATTAGGTGCAATTTACGATGACACACGAATGAAACCACCCTATAGTATAGTTAAGCTCCATGGCCCTTTTTGTCTCGCTCGCTCGTTTGTCTCTCTCTGTTAGTCTGTTGTCATTTGCGCTGTTATTTTCACGATCTCGAAAACTTGATACATTGTTGCTGTTTTTTTAAGAGTGGTGCCATCGTAGCTGCATCGTCATTGTTAATGACATATCACTTGCTGTGCCTACAAACCTGCCCTACAGTGCCGGTGGTGTAGTTTGCGATGCCGTCATAAGAGTAGGCTGGATATTTGTTTGATGGGTGCACACCTGTGTAGAGTGGCAGCGCTGATGTGCCTTGAGAGGTGTGCGAGTGCTGGTGTCGTCTTACAATGGTTAAGTGCTTATTTCGAGCCCCCAGCTGACGCCCATGGATGTGTATACAGTCATCACGCATGGTCACGCACGCATCCACGCGGCTCTCAGGGCAACGCTGGCACAGAAGCACGAAAGAGCAATGATCGGCAAAAGGATACAAGCCAGCATGTCCTGCACCGACTCAACGGCCTTGCCGTAGAATGCTTGGAACTCCTTGCGCAGGTCGAAGAAGTGGTAGAAGGTGTCCGGCAGCAGGATGCCGTGCCGCACTGCCTCCGGATGCAGCGCCTGGCGCAGTGTCAGCTGGCCGTCCGTCACGAAGTAGAACTGGCCGCCGGCCTCAGCCTCCAGCCGCGCCCGGGCCCACTGACTGAACTGCGGAGGACGAACGCAACGTCATTGTGACCGATTAGTTGACTGCCACACGGGGAAGTCCAGTGTCAATAAATAAAAATGACTTCAGTAAACTGATATGAGTTAGCTAAACTCCTGCGAACGCGTTTTCGCCATGTTTTCGTCGCGGAAAAGTACTGTCGCCAGAAAGTGGTCACGAAAGAATGATATATGTACTAACTAAAGCATTAAGAAATCGTAACAAGTAACAAGTATTGCAGGATTTTGTTTTGTCCAAACAACTCAGTCGTTATGGAATATTTGAATACCCCTGTTCCCAGCGACATTGTAAAGAGCGGTGCCGGCCATAGACTTTCCTAAAATTAACTAGAGGGGACTCTGGCGCTGCGATAATTGAGCGACCACAGAGGTCGCTGACCAGGGAGCTTTTCCTTCCGCTCTCCCTGTCAGCGGCCATAGGAATAACGGCTATCACGCCGATTTTCATAGTCTTCTTCGAACGCGCTTGCGGCTTCTTTACTGTTGTGTTTCAGTTTTGTTTCGAATGAATGAACAAACCCTTTTGAACTTTGTGACCCGATTTGAATTGGTGAGCCTAAAATGTTGACGTGGTGAAGTGCAACAGCTGAACATTTGTCGAATTTTGTTTCGTCACAAAGCAGCTCCAAGCTCGCGAAGCCAAACGGAGCTAGAAGTACGAAGACAAATTCGTGTACCACCCCTCATTCCCGTGCTCGCTGAAGCGCCGTGCGTTGTATCTCCCATAGATATTTAGTTCCCTATAGTGTGTGCAGGCCTCATGGACATGTGTTCACTGTTTGTCGGAGATGAAAAGGGGAGCAGTTTTGAAAAGGTGCGCTCAGTGTTGAAGGAGATTAAGAGGGGAGCACACGAAAGACATGCACGTCACGTTCACACTTTTGGCAGACACCAGCTGCACATAAGAGAACGGTCGACAACAGGAGGTGGAAGTGTACAGGAGAGTGGAAGTGTACATCTTCTAGCCCCGTTGCGTGTAATAAACAAGTATGAAAGAAAACAGCACTCGCAGACAAGCGCAATCTAACAACTGGAATTAAAAATAAGATCAATTCTTTCAATCAGCACATAATCACAACTTTCGAAATGCGCCTGCTCTAATGAAGTCAACATGACCTCCCCACCCTCCGACTTTCCCCAACTCCCTTGCCATACTCTATGAGCCCATGCATGTATAAACTGTGCATAAAACCTGTGTTATTTCAGATGCGAAGCAGCTTATCGTCGCGGCTTGTCCTTTGTACGTCGTCGTAGCCATGCTAGTACTCGGAGTGTCCACTAGATGGCTTTGCGGCAAAGCGTTCACTCCACTCCGGTGCATGCTCTGGTATGAGTGGAGGCTGCGGTGAGCATGCGCACCCACGCAGCGGTGAGTGCGATGAGCATGCGCATCATGCCGTGAAAGAAGCGAATATGTGGTGACGGTCACCAGATTGCAGCCTTCTGCAAGTTTACTCCGATCACATTTATTTTGCAAGGAATCCTATCTTACTGTATACATGTGGCCGATTATCAAAAATGGTCCAAAATCGTAAATATTTTTCTTAACATTTATGCCATCGATCGACCACAGTCGGTAATAGTGTCAAGATTGGCTGAGAATTTCTTTCACGAATTATTATGTCTAGAGCGTAAAAATGTTTCGGTGATTTGGCCCATGACTGCCCTTATACATGAGCATTGAGCGTACTTTGAGAACGCTGATCTCTAAGAGAACGGAACGCGAGGGAAAGAATAAAAGCAAAGCGAGAGTCGCATTGCGTCCGGAGGCCAAACGATCGCCCGGTGATAAAGTATAGGCGGAATCCCTGCGCGGATGATCGCAGCGAACATCTCGCGTTGGAGCATGCTACCGGCACCGGGTAGAGATCATTGTGCAGCGCGTATAACCATTGCGCATAGCGCGCGCGACGCGCGGCAGAAGCCACGGGCGTTCAGTCAGTATACAAGTATACCTCGAGGCGGCTATCACGCCTCGCCACAGATACTGCGCGTGTGACTGTAAACCGCGCAGAGAATGACTGGGCATTGCGTAATGTGATAAGAACGAGGCTATAGAGGTCGCAAGGCGTGGCGTTGCGTCTTTTTCTTGAAATCCGCCGCGGCGCTGCATTCCACGTCCGACGTTCCTTAACGTGTAGCTGCATAACGGTATCCGCGGGACGACGTGGTCTGATACGAGTCGTGGATATATGGATGCAGTATTTTCATAGCAAACCGCAGGTACTGACCTCGTGTTGCAGATACGGTGAAAGAACGCCGCGAAATGGCGCCACTGCCGGTGATTTCGTGACGATAAGTGTATATATAGCCGTAATTACGTCGCGAGAGAGAAACCGCTGTCCTGCAATCTGCATGTAACGTGTTTTCATCCACCAGACAGGTTCCCTGCCGTTGTCGCTTTTACTTTGTTCCGGCCCTTGATTGATTCTATTTAACCAAAACAAAAACGGAGCATACGCTGAACATCGCGCAAGTATTGCATACGTTTTTCAGGCTATACCCTTTGTATATTGGCTTGAAAGACACTTCGGTTTACATAAGGTATCGAAATACGTATATGCAGGCTTTCACAATACGAACGTTACGGAAAATCTTCACTATACTCGTGTTTCGCCGCTATAAACAGGTGGCAGTAAACTGTTATAACGTTGGATTGCTAACTAGTATACCCAGTACTTTGTCGGCACGTGCCTCGGTTATACGAACACACACACACTAAACATTAGCGAGGTTAGCAAGCGTCGTGTTCATCATAGCCTTAGATATCTTAATGATATAGCATTACTGCCTTTTTCGTTTCAATTTACGCGATACGTATTAAGCTGGCTAACAATAATTGGAATGATCTTACACTGAAGAGTAGCTCACAGAAGCACAGTATTGTTACGCAACGCAACAGGTTTTCCACGTTGAACACTGCGGAAAGAGACGGGCCTCGCCGTTGTCGACCGTGCACACAGTGCGGGTTTAAGTGGGTTGCGCAATCCGCTGCTCGCGCCTTACCTCGCATCTAAACTAAACGAGCCATCGCGGTGCGGGCACAAGGTCGGCTCTGCTTCGAATTCGCGGCGTGGTGCTCCTTATCGCATCAGGAGAGATCCCCGTAGAAACCGTCACGTCATCCCCATCTGTCTCTAATCTCGAATGCACGAGTAATATATATGACGGCCACGTTGGACTACATATGTGCCGAGCTTTCTTCTGTTTAACCATTCGATAAGATGGAGCCCTCATTTCCACACTCTCTCTTCTTTTTTTCCCTCCATCCCGGTCATGCGCAGTCTAACCAGGTCGCGAAGACGGAGCCTTTGTTATCATGTACCGCTCCATTATTCGCAGAATGGCTGAGCGCCGATTCTTTCACATGCGTGCTTCAAACTAAGCCGCGTGTACATCCATTAGCTCAGGACAGTTTTGACGAAGGCCTAAGGCGGTCTTTTTCATGTCATCGTTGTCCAGCGTTCTCGCATTCATGCATAACACTAATGGCGTGTTTTTTTCTGCGCGTACCAAATGCACGAGTGATTGAGCGGCTGCCGTTGTGGACAGTATAGTAGTTTATATCGTCAGGAGGGTTATGCCAACTCATCAACTTGAAAGCGCAAGGAAAAAAAAAACGTCATATTATATCCTAGTGTTAGCGCGGTAGGACTGATGATAATAATAGGCTTCAGGCCTAGAACACGACCACAGAAAAGGCGCACAAACCAGCGACATGTATACATGCGTCCATTCTGTTGTCGTATGTTAAGTGCGAAGTTCGTTGAACATGTATTCACCCACTCGCCGAACACCAAGCACCGTGCACTAGCGAAGTGACAAGACTGTTTCTTTTTTTTTAAACTAGCATTCTGCAGATGCCCGTGTATTCCTATTATTGAGCATAAATTCTTAAGCAGTGTAAAAATCTTGTTCCATATGACGCATAAATACACTGGTGTATATCGGGTATATACGGTTACGTTAAACACGCGTGGCTCCGACAAATGCGTCTCAAAGTGCGAGGCTTATAGTGAAGCGTCCTGCCAACTGCGATAACTGGAGAGTCACTGTTGCACTGGGATTTCATAATAAATCGACAGGTCTACTCTTGAAAGCAAAGCTGTTTTTCTGTCGAGCTTTTACATAATTGCCGAAATTCAATCGCTCACTTTGGGCCCAATTTGTCGATTTGACTGTTGCGGTGGCCCAATCTTTGGCGGCGGCGAAACAAGAGATATATAGTGACGGGGGAGATGACAACCTCGTAAACATGTCTTGGCACCACCCACGCCCGCATGTAGGGTGGTGCCGATTGCGCCCCGTGACCCCGACTCAGCCTTAGTTCAAGGTTACTATACCCATTGCGGTGGCTTCCCTCGGCAGTCAATGAAAAGTCAACGAACGTCGAGACGGTCTCGTTTTGTTATACCTGATCGATAACTTGCTCCAGGGGCACGGCGTTCTTGAGCTGTTCTTCAGAGATTCCGTACTCGGTGCGACACGATTCTGAAATGACGTTCTCGTTGACATCGCAGGAGCGTGGCTTGACCAGGTTTTGCTGCACGGCCACCACCTGCAATGGCGGAAAATAATGTCATAAGCGCCGACGGAAGGTAGCCGCTGGGCAAACAACGGAAAGTATTTCGCTATAAGAGACCACAATGAAATTTCACTCCGGCACTGAGTAGGGTAGGGTAGGGTGGGGTAAAATGCGACAAAAATTATAAGTGAATATTTGTTTTTATTTCATGCCTCACAATCAAACATCAACGCAGAAACTTTGCTTTGAGTAAAGGGCATATGCTTCATGAATATTACCATGTTTTCACTGCTCAAAAGGTTACTTAAAAATAATAATAAAAAAACGTTCCAGGTGTCTCATTTTGCCCCAACTCACGGGGCAAAACGAGACAGCGTGAAAAAAAATCCTATTTCTTCAGTTTTTGTAGTAGAAAGACTTAAAGGGCCCTTACGCAGTCTTAAAGAGCTCAGTCTTTGGACTTCATGCATTACATGTAGACAGAACGCGGGCTTGTGTTGCTCCGAAACTCCTTGCAGATCAAACACCGCCAGCCTTTCTTCGTACTAATGTCGTCTTTTGTTGAACGCTTTCACCTCTTTGGATTATTCAACAATTGGAGCCTAGATATGTTTGACGTATCTTATTCGCCTCTTTTTGCCGTTTTGATGCAGACCTGGTCAGACGTTTCGTGGCTGTTTAACTTTGTCCGCCGGGCTTTGTGAAAATGAACTTAAAACTGTGCTAGATTCAGATTTTGAAGCCCTTGTTTTTTTTAATTAGCGTACTGAAAAAAAAAAAAACGTCGTTAAATCTCAATCGCAAGACATGTTTGTCAAGGACTTGGTTTGGAGATTCCACAATCTTTTTTATGCATCTTTTGAGAGCATCTTTGGGAAGACAGAAAAACCTCGATGCAGCACAAATGAATGGAGTCATGTCCTGAACGAGAATGAGTGCTTTTTCATGTCGTTTTCCTCCCAAAAAGCCCTATGCGATATTCTATTGTATGTGCAAACCCTCTTAAACAAAGAAATATAATATATAATAAGCATAAGTTAATGGTCTAATTTACAAGACACACTCTAAGACTATTGAATGCATTTTTGTTGCGTTTTGCTCTCACATGCCAGAATTTAAAAGAAAATTCCGTTTTGTACCCGGGCACCAAAATAACTGAACTTTCAGTGTTATGTAGTTCATAGTTTAAAGTAACAAAATAAATATTTACGTTGCTGCACTGACGCAGGAGTAGCTTCATGCACGGATCCGAAAATTCGGCCGAGCAGGATTTCGCGCCTGTTTGACGGGTTACGAACACACTGACACCAGCCTCGTAATCTTTGCCGCGTGAACACTGTGAGCAATCATCAACATTTACACATTAAAGGATAGACAAGGACCAGCACTGATTTCTGGAAAAAAGATGCAAAGAAAAGCAGTTTTTGTAGTAGCTACAGAGGCTGGCAAAATCAAACGGTCGCGTTTTGGCCCCCCCCTACAATCCTACATAAATGGGCAGCCAGTGCATATATAGTGCATATGACTGGAGCTTTGCCTTCACTGTTCAACAGACAGATTCGCAATAAACACGAAGTTCTCGCAAGGATAGGATGTTAGGCGTTTTCAAAGTAAATAGCCGCTGTATCGCCTGATGAAAAGAAAACTTCGAAACTCAATCGGTACTCTGAAGAGAGGAGGTGCAAGCGTCGCAGCCTTTCAAACACTCGTAACACGTGCAATGAAAGATCGAATATATATATATGGTCACGATAGCAGCAAAATTTTCCTACCTAACAATTTCAGCAGACTGATTTCATCGGCAAAAAAAAAAAAAAACGGCATGTCGACGAAAGGAACGCGTTATTTCACCGCACCACGTGCACAGTGACGTCAGGTGTGTGCCGGTGTGATTGATTGATTTGTGGGGTTTAACGTCCCAAAACCACGATATGATTATGAGAGACACCGGAGTTCAGGGCTCCGAAAATTTCGACCACCTGGGGATCTATTAACGTGCACCCAAATCTGAGCACACGGACCTACAACATTTCCGCCTCCATCGGAAATGCAGCCACCGCAGCCGGGATCCGAACCCGCGACCTGCGGGTCAGCAGCCGAGTACCTTAGTCACTAGACCACCGCGGCGGGGCGTCCCGGTGTGATGCCCGAGGAAATTGAGGAAAAAGAACCTGCCATCCGCCACAGTCACTTTCTCCATAAGCTCTGTATTCCCCTCTCTTTGCGTCCTCTATATACGAATGCGCACTTGTCCGATTCTGGCGAGTGTTTCCAATGATAAAGCACGAACACAAATGAGTTAGCGTTGCATCATTAATTACAGCCCTGTTCGTCATAGTTTTAAAGACATAGAGGTGCTAAAAGATTCTCAGCGTTGTCTGAGCTAACGCTGCTTCAGTACGCATGCCTCGTTGTGCGCATGCGCACTTGCTTCATTCGCATTGCGCATTCAGAAACAGGCGCCGAATCACGCTGCGTTCGAGAATGTGACGCAATTTGCTACAGTTTAGATTCGTTCGTTCGTCCATTTGCACTTGCCGAAAGGTCAATATAGTTGGCGAGCAAAGACTTATATGAGAGAAAATGCGCAGCAGAGAAAAAAAACAAAAAAAAAACACAAAAGATCAGCTGTAGAAAAGGATATGCAAGCCAGAGAAAAGTTGCACACACGCAAAAAAGGAAACGCAAGATAAGGTAAATGAAGACGAGAACATGGTCAATTTAGAAGGGGAGCAGTAAACGATGAAAAAAGGACTTCGCCCACTTCGTCCTGCGCGTAGATAACATGAAGATTATGCGCAACGCAAATGCAAATAAACATGCATAGTTGTACAGTACATAGATAATTACCCATGAAAAATAAATATACTGAAAATGGTTCATTAGCCATGAGCAAGTGAAACGTGTCAAGGCAGGCTAACAAGTATAGTACTACGCAACATATTAAGACTGGGCTGCCTTATTTTTTACATGAAATAAACAAAGCTTTTTTTTTAAAATTTTGGTGATGATAAAATTGATTGATTGATTGATTGATTGAAGATGCGCATTTTCAGGAGGGACGGAGGCCATACTTAATAAGCAGCTGAATTATTGTTTTAAGCGTGAATGTTAGCGTTATTCTTAGAGCTTGAAAAAATCCCCATCGTGGGTATATCGTGTGCATTACTTGTTGGAAATTCCGAACACGCGCGCAAGCAAAGGCATACCGGAGCTATGTGACGGCTGTGCGTGACGATAACGTCAGGAATACGCTATCGGAGTGCACATATTTGGGCTGGAACGTCGTTATGACAAGAAGAAACAGCGCCATCGAGACGGGACGGTGACAAAGCGATAAACAAAGTGCTGAATTGTACCTCGCTCGTCGTTCTAGGTCCCGTTTCTATAGCACCCTTTTTAACAGCGGAGCTCTTTGAGCAGGGGGTGGAAACTCTCTATATCTCCCATGTATTCGCTTTCAGCAGTGGAAGCGCCGCTTTTACCACTGATGGTTGCCGGGCGCCCTACTAGAAATAAATCCGAAGAAAAAAATTATTCCATGACGTCACTGGTGACGTCACAAAATAGAGAGAAAGGACAAAAAATCAAGAGGAGGGTTGCCGCATAAGCCTTCCTTCCCCACTTCGCATGCAAGCGGAATGCGTTCGTGCTGCTCGTGCCTTCTTGCAGGCACTGCGCCGTGCTCCCTACCGGGCTGCAGAAATTAGGTGCCTTTCTCCTCTTCTAACCACTACCACCACCACTTTCTTGCAGGTCCGTTGCGACACTTGGACAATGCAGCCATTCGTAAAGTTTTGTTGTTAATCTTTCTTTTTTTTTGGTCATGTTTTATGAAGAGGCGATAGTTGAGCTGACTGGTTTCTGAGTAAGACGAAACTTGATCGGCACAAATAAAATCAAGTGCTTTAATGCACGTTGCGTGTCAGAAAACAGAGGCGTATAGTATGAAAGTGCTCATCTATAAAAGCAGCTTTAACTTACAACTGATATACAGGCATAATGAGTTAACGTCTAACCCAGAATATCCGATTGATATGTGGGGTCTAACGTCCCAAAACCACCATATGATAATGACAAAAGCCGTAGTGGAGGGCTCCGGAAAGTTCGACCACCTGGAATAGAATAAAAATAGAAGGCCACTGCTAGGCACCACTTGTTCGAAGCTGCACTAATATTCTTTTTCTTTCCCTAATACTGTGTAGGACACGTTATGATTATCGTTTCCCGCGATCATTTGCTGTTCGGCTCTAAGCGATATCACTGAATAGTGTGGCAGCGCACTCTTTACGCCCATTTACTACACAGAAAGCTGACTCTGCCAACGATACCGCGCCTGAGGATTACAATGAGTCGATTGGCGTTCTCCTTTGGCCGTGTCAAAAGATGTTTGTAAAGATATCGGGCTGCTATTCCAGAATACAACTTTCTCACTTGCACTGATCTCCATCGCGCGCTGACGGTTATCTCGAAAACCTCTGCCGTACGGCGTACGGGAAAGTGAAGTATGAAAGTGGTGTTTGATTTCCTGATGTCTTTCCTTCAGAGGACAGTGTCTACAATGAATGATTAAATAAATGAATGCATGAATGAATGAAACTATTTGGAAGAAGGCTGGAGTTTTTTTTTTTTTTTCGAAAAAGCAAATTCAGAGCACACCTGTAGCATTGGGTACTTTCACCTCGGTCTGTTCTGAGAGCCGTAGGTTTTTAAGGTCCTTGCTGCACCTAAAGGCGTACTGACATCATCATTTATGATATCATCATCAAGGGGTACTGACATGATATCATCTATATATTATCAACGCCGAAAATAGCTTGGAAGGTATTTTACATTAATTTGGAAGTTTGAATTTAGAAGGTATTGACACTATGATCAGTGATATGGTAACCCCCCTACTTCCCTCACGTCACCACGCTTATGTAGAAAACAACAGGTTATAATGAGGTCATAGCCGTTATTTTTCTTTAGCTGCGTTTCTTCGAGCAGTCTATACTTCTCAGTGGCTGCTCAAGAGTTCGTAGCCGGGGCGT